AATATACAAACATTGCTTTTTGCAAGACATTTCGAAAAATAAGAGGAATATCTATGCATGAATGAATCTAAGCTTGAATATCAAATAAGTGTAACTCCCAACGAAGGTTCACAACCAATGACAATAAGATCTTAATGAATAATAATCAGCATGCGAAGATGCGTGCTGTTAAACAATATTAACCCTCTGGTGTTAACCGCGGTCCAATCATCGCCATCTTAATATTATCATGCACACTATATCATGGTAGCGACCATACTACTATCGAATGTGGCACGTGTCGTAGTCAGCTGCCGAAGCATGTGGGTATGTAGGAACCAACTCGGCCCCAAAATTTGACTGATTCATTTGGTTCAAAGGTCAACATGAGTCAAATTTGTGTGATTTCATTGTCGTTTATGACAAGCAGATCTGCTGACGGTATTTTTGTAATTTTGTATTTACTTTGATAAGTTCAATTTCTGAATTTTTCATTATTTACATTGACAAAACGCAGTCCAGCTTTGCAAATTCGTTATTTTCATTAGAGCTAAGTGCGTGTCGCCAATGCTCCACGCCGACAGGTCTTGACGTTTTGTTCGGTCGTGCGAAAATTTAATTGAATTTACGTCCAGGTTCAATGAATCTGTTCCCCGACGAGCTCCCCGTGAACTTTTATAAATTTATTTTGGGAGATTTACATACATACCACTTAATATTATGCTATTTACATATTTAACATCTAAAATTATAATATTACATACATACCACCCATAGTTCATTTTCATATCAAATATGAGTGGTAGAAATGAAATATATGAGTGGTAGGAAAGAAATGTAAGTGGTATATTTGATATTAAAATAATATAGGGTGGTATTCATGTAATATTAAAGTTTTAAGTGTTAGATATGTAAATAGGATGTTATAAAGTAGTATGTATGTAAATTTCCCAAGTTGTTATTATATTTTTCATGTACTTATCTCATGGTTGAATTTTTAAAAGGGGATTTATGCTTATCGTATTTAAGAATAGGATATTTAAAAAAAAAAAAAAAGCTAGTGGCCCCACACACGGGCGACTGGATCAAGTCGCCGTTGCTGGGCGACTGGATCAAGTCGCCCTACCCTGAGTCGACTTGCAGCAATTTGAATGCAAACATTTCTTATTACTTCTTAAACTAATTTTCTAATTACTTTTGAAAGCAACTTTTTGGTGTAAAAATTTCTAATTTATTTTTTTTTAACTAGAAAAGCTTCTTTAAAAAGTAGAAAAAAAACTGCCCCAAATAAAACCTTAATATTTTTGGGATGCAAAAAATCCATATTTTGTGAAAATTTTGTGTTTGATAGATATTTATAATGTAAAATAAGAGTATTCAATTTAGGATGTTTATTTAAGAAAAAAATTAATCTTACACAATAACTCAAATTTAATCATAATTAATTTTATAGTTATTAAATTTGTTTTGAGATTGGTGCAAAATTAAAATTTTAATCATTAATCACATGTTACACTAACCTTAAAATAAATTTATTGATGGTAAATTATGATGTAATTTATATCAGTTTATTTTCATTCATTTTTTCTTGTTATTTTAGAAGTATTTTTTTTCTTTAAATATGATTAAATTAAATAAATTTACTGAAAACCTAGAGCTTGTGGGCGGCTCTGACAATAATAAGGATAGTGGATAGCAAGAATTTATGTTTTGGAAGAGCCAAAAAAAAGAAAAGCTTAAATATATTAAATATTATGGATAGAAAGATTTAAAAATATTAAATTTAATTAATATTGAAATTAAAATTAAAATTCTCATAATAGAGTGCTTTAAAGTTCAAAAAATAAAATGATAGGATTTAAATTAAGGCTTCGTTTGGGATGATTTTCTTACTGCTTCTTAACAAAAAAAAAATGATAGGATTTAAATTAAGGCTTCGTTTGGGATGATTTTCTTACTGCTTCTTAAAACAGATTTCTAGTAAAAAACTGCTTTAAGAAACAGTAAGAAAGTCGTCCCAAATGAAGTCTTCTTAAAGCAGCTTTTTAGTACAAAAAATTTAATTTTTGTAATAAAAAGCTAATTTAACAAGCAACAAAAAAATCGTCCCAAACGAAGCATAAATCTTGCTTAAAATTTCCTAAAATACACTATCAAACAATCTCTTATGCTCCAATACCCAAATAATAATAATAATAAGAACTCTTTTTTTTGTTATAAAAGGTGAGCATCATAGCATGGTTTAAATAAAAATTAACAAAATAGTGTATCCTAACTTTGGCTTATGTAAAAATAAAAAAAAAAATAAAAAAAAAAGCTTCCAACCAATCATTTAGGATCCATTTTAGATGGCTCCAATTTTTTATAAAAGTTATTAGCAGCTTTCTTTAAAGCAGCAGCAGAAAGTTTTTTTTTTTGGACAGGGAGTATCGGCCTTCGGCCACTAATCTCCCCGGTCGACTTAGCGGACTACCCACATCAATTCGCCCGGGCCAACACTTAAGGCTTTCGTGGCCGCCCATGGGAATCGAACCCGAGACCTAGGCTTTGCCAAGGAGGTTCTTTCCCACACGAGCTAAGCCACAGTGGGTAGCAGCAGAAAGTAGCTTCCTAGAAAAAAAATAATGATAAAATAAGAACTATGGTTCCTATCTAAAAAGTATAGTAAGTACTATTTTATAAAACAACTTGTTAGATCAAAAGTTTTTGGAAAAAAAATTATACTAAAAATTTATTTTATAAAACACTAAAAAAAATGTCACAAATAAAACATTAATATATTTGAGATGTAATGAGAAGTTGAAGGTCATTCACTTGTTGGCCTAATAATGGGTGAAACAAAAATTATCCAAAATATTTTGATTATATTTTTGGTCACCAAGAATTTTAAATTATTGAATATAATTTGCAATAATAATAATAATATGAAATTTATTTATATATTTGATATGTCACTAAAAAACACTTTGATCGGGCACGAATCTCAATATAAATATGAATATGAAATTTCTAAAAGTAAAATTGGAATCATCCAAGCTTTGATTTCAACAAACATATAGTCGAATTGAACATCTCGAAGAGATGGATCCAATGACACCAAAGTCAATCTAAAATGAACATAAATCAAGGGTCCAAAATATATTTGAAGGGTTCAAAGCATTAATTCGGTAACCAAATGATCGTCGAATATGGCTAAGATTAATCCAACGAGCCTAAGATCGCATAATTCTGACAACATTCGGGCACTCAAATGTCTAATAAACTCTCCACAATCAAGGGGATCAATATGAGTCATCCGTTGAAACACTCTCAACATGCTCTCGGTCTTCTCTATATTTACGTGGCATGCCACTCTAAAAAAACTATAAATAAACATGAGGGGGGAGGGGATGGCGAAGAAGAAGAAAATTTGGGGAGCTCTCATGCCACCAACTGTCGGCGTAGTTCTTCCTAACCGTCGCTAAAGTTCTTCCCGACTGTCGCTGGAGTTCTTCCCATCCACCATTGGAGTTCTTCCCAATCGCCACCGAATTTCTTCATGAACGCTGCTGGAGTTCTTCTCTACGAAAGCCGGACTTTCGCCCGTTCATCGACCATCATTGGACTTCCGCCTATTCATCAGTTGCAGTCAGATCTTTTCCCAACCACCGGTCGTCGCTAAACATTCGTTCGTTCTTTGATTTTTGCCAAAACTCTTCTTGGATGCTATTAACATCGTATCTCCTCCCAAATATCATTACTCACCAACTACGGTCTCTATGACCACCGTAGCCGGACTACGATTCTTCCGACCTCCATAGCCCGACTTTTTTGGCATGTTTGACAAACAATGCCAGACTACGGTCTCTATGAACACTGTCGCCCGACTTCGATTCTTTCGTCCTCCATCGTATGCCATTTACGATCTCTCCGACCATCAGTGCCAAACTATGGAATCTATGACCACCGTTCCCTAATTACCATTCTTCTGATCTCCATCGCCCGCTATTTACAGTGTCTCTGACTATTAATGTCAGACTACAATCTCTATGACCACCATCGTCTAACTACGATTCTTTCGATCTCCATAGCCCATCCTTTATAGTCTCTCCGACCATCAATGTCAGACTACTGTCTCTACGACCACCATCGCCCAACTCTTATTCTTCTGACCTTCATTATCTATCGTTTATGGTCTCTCCAACCATCAGTACTAAACTATGGTCTCTATAACCACAGTCACCCGGCTACAGTTCTTCCGACCTCCATCGCATGACTTTTACGTCTCTCCAACCATTTGTGCTACACTACGGTTTCTACGACCACCATCGTTCGACTACAGTTCTTCTGACCTCAATCGTCCATCATTTACGATCTCTTCAACCATTAATGCCAGACTACAGTCCTTCCGACCTCCATCGTCTGCCGACTACGATTCTTTCTACCACTTTGCTTGCCGACTACACCCTTCAACTAACATCGTCCAACAATTGTGATTCAGCCAGCTCAATGAATAAACCAACTCTTATTCTTCCAACTCCCACCATGTAATACATTGTACATAGATGTATATGGGCCACATTGAATAAAGGATTTCCTCCTAAGAAGGGCTTCATTTGTAATCAACTACAAACACTAGTGAATTCATTCAAATTGGACAATGCCCCATAGTTTTCCCTCATTTTTAGAGGTTTCCACATAAAAATTCTGATGTCTCTTATAAACTTATTTATATATTTGTGCGTTGGATCTTGGTTTAAGACTAGGATGTTAAACTTTATATTTCTGTGCCACCGCAAATTTTTTAGGATGCAATAGTATTACACTTATTCTAAAATTTATCAATTACTAATTTTTCATTATGACATTATAATATAAAATGTTTATTGAAGAAAGTTGAGGGAGAGAGATCAAAATGCCAGCTCAATCTTCTCTCATCCCATGAAACGGCTCCGAGGGCAAAACGGGTAATTCGTACCTTGTTAGCTAAATATAAATTGGTAAGCTTCCTTTGTACTCCATGAGCTTGACATTCCAGTCCAATGGCGCTCAGCAGAAGCCGAGCTCATCACTTCCTAGGTTTGGCAAAGGCCAACTCTTCCCTGTCCCATATCCTCTGCTCCGCCCCCGCGCCGGATCAATCTCCTCGCCATCTCCACCGGATTCTCCAACGCCGGACAAATGTCAGGCCGGCGCTTTGGCCGGATCGTTGCACTGATCTGCCGGTTGGAGATAAACTCATCGATAAGATATGGGGACTCAACGCCGGCCGAATCCGTCTCTACCTGATCTCGCAGTCGCTGCCGTCGATTGCTTGCGAGACAACGGAGACAGAGGTGAAGAAGGTACTTAAGATTTCGCAGATGGAGGCGGTGAGATCGCGGCTGAGCGCGACTCCGCGGAGCTCCATCTTTTACTCCGAATTCCTTCGCATCTGCCGCAAACAATCAAATACGGACGAAACTGCATCAGCGATCGCGCAATCTCTCGAAGAATCTGCTGATGTTATTGCCTTGGGAAATCTCGTCTTCCTTCGTCCTGGTGAGGTAATAATATTTCACATGCCCCAATAAGGAATTCAATTTTCCCGCCAAATATCTGGTTCCGATCTCGCTTCATTTCTTTCTTTCAGATATTGAAAGATATCGGGAGGGTACTCCCACCACAGCTCAACAACCATGAGCAGAGGATCATGAAGGAATTGAAGGAGATGGAGGCGAAGAAGGCGGAGATAGACAGTAAGGCGGCCGCTGGCGTGCGGCGGGAGCTCTGGTGTGGGCTAGGGTTTCTACTGGCTCAAACGCTTGGATTCTTCAGGCTCACATTCTGGGAACTCTCATGGGATGTAATGGAGCCGGTTTGCTTCTTTATGACTTCCATCTACTTCACGGCGGGCTATGGCTTCTTCCTCAAGACATCGAGAGACCCTTCCTTTGAAGGCTTCTTCGAAACCCGATTTGCTGCGAAGCAGAAACGATTATTGAGGGATTCGAATTTTGATTTAAGAAGGTTTGATGAGCTCAAACAGGAAGCCAGCTTTTCTCCACTTTCAAATGAACGGGTTTCTGCTGGAACAAATTTTAAAAATATTTATCAATATTAAATTTTTTTATTTAATTTGGCATCTTAAAAAAAAGATTTACATATATACCACTTTATTTCATGTTGTTTATAACAGCTAAAATTTTAATATTGCTTGCCTACTATATATATAGAACAAATATGAGTGTATGAAATGTATTATTGAAATTTATAGGGCGGTATGAGTGGTAAGAATGAAATATATGAGTGATATATTTGATATTAAAATTTTATGAGTGGTAGGAATATAATATTAATTTTGGGTGTTAGATATTTCAATAGCATTAAATACAATGGTATGTATGTAAATCTCCCAAATAAAAATCTTGTTGTTGTTTGAAAACACGACTTACTTGGGCCTTTTGTTAGTGTGGACCTTATGAATTGCGCTTCAAAACTATAGCTAGTTGTTTGTTGGACAATCAATTTTTATGAATTGGAGGTTACCTTTTTAAGCAACTTGTTTTATTCATGATTATTTTTTAATTAAAGATCACAAAATATTTGTGCAAATAATAATAATCTTGTTGCGTCTTGAAATATTCATGTCGATAGAGAAATATAAAGTTTAACGTTTAAGCTTTGTACGAAGATCCATGACACAATCATATAAAAGAGAGGGTGTAACATTCATAAGAGACATCTGAGTTTTTATGTGGAAACCCTTGAAAAGGAAGAAAAATCACGGGGCCTGATCCAATTTGAATGAATCCACTAGTGTTTACAGCCGATTACAACAGAGGCCCTTCCTTAGGGGAAGGCCTTGACTTAATGTAGAAAATATACATCATATAGTGCATTACATGATGAGAATTGGAAGAATTAAGTATTAATATGTTCATTTGGTCGGCGGGACTATAGTTGGCAGGCGACAGAGGTCAGAAAGATTATAATCATGTAACAATGATCTGAAGGATCGTAGTTGTCGGACCACGATGGTCGGAAAGGCCATTGTTAGTCGATGGAGGTAAGAAGGACCATAATAAGTGGATGACGAAGGTCGAAAGGATCGTAGTCTGATGACTGAGGTCGGAAGGACCTTAATCAGGTGACAGGGGTTGGAAGTTTCGTAGTCGATGGGCAACAATGGTCAGAAAGACCATTGTCTTGTGACGGGGGTCAAAAAGATTGTAATCGACGAGCAACAGTGGTTAGAAAGATCTTTATCTAGCGACGAAGTTCGGAAGGATTTTAGTCGGTGGGTGATAGTGGTCAGAAAAAGTTTGTTGTCTAGCGACGGAGGTCAGAAGGACCATAGTTTGTGGGAAATAATGGTTAGATAGATCATTGTTTGACTACGGAGGTCGAAAGGACAGTAGTATAGCGACGTTGAAAATACCATAATCTAATGATGGAGGTTTGAAAGTCTGTAATCGACGGGCAACAGTGGTCAGAAAGACCTTTGTCTGGCGACTAAGGTTGGAAATATAGTAGTCTGGCGACAAAGGTCGGAAGAACCATAGTTGATGGGGAACAATTGTCAAAAAGACCATTGTTCATCAATGGAAGTTGGAAGGACTGTATTTGGCGAGCGATATTGCTTAGGAAGATCATTATCTGGCGACGGAGGTTGGAAAGACCGTAGTCTTACGATAGAGGTCAAAATGACCGTAGTTGGTGGGCAATAGTAGTAAAAAAATATCTTTGTCTAGTGATGGAGTTGGAAGGAGCGTAGTCTTGTGACGATTCTCGGGAGGAAGTTCGACGATAATCAGTGGCAGGATGTAAGTCCAACAATAATTAGAAGCCGGGTGGAAGTCTGTAGTCAGTCGGTGGCCGAGAGGAACTCCAATGTTAGTCGGTGACCGAGTGAAAGTCCAATATCAGTCGGTAGCCGAGCAGAAGTCCGGCATCAGTCGATGGCCGAGCGAAAAATCGGTGGAGACCGAGGAGTCTGTAGCTAGAGAACTCTAGTTTCTATCTCTTTCTTCTCCTGTTTGCTTGGGTCCCCTTCCATGAGAAATGAAAGATCTATTTATAGTTTTCTGAGAGTGGCATGACCAATAAATAGGAGAGAGATCAAATGTATGTAGTGAGTACGTAGTTTGAATGAACAACCGATATTGTTTCCTTTGATCCTGGGCTATTTATTGAGTATTTCAATGTCTTAATATTATAAAAATTTGGCGATCTAGGGCTCATTGGATTCGTCTCGTAAAGACACTCGACTCGATTATAAGCATGTCATGTTTGGACATCATTCGGTAATCCAAATTATGGTTTGAACCTTCTAAAGGTGCTTTGAATCTCCAATGGACACATATGGGTTCATATTGAGTCGAATTTGGTGTTGTTGGGTTCATATTTTTGAGACGTCCAATTTGACTATAAATTTGCTAAAATTGGAGTTTGTATGGTCCCATATTTAATTTCAGAACTTTGAACTCAATTTTGTCTTGAGATTTATGTTCGATTAAGATAAATTATTTATGATATATCAAATATATATTTTAAATTGCAAGTGGGTATTCTTTTTTTTTTTTCTGTTATATTCATTTTATAAAAATGTCTTCTCACACAAATAATTGATTTTCTAATAACCTGATCGGCACAGTAAAAAACAGCACAATTAGATAACAATATATAAATCATGGGCGCCACTAGACCTAGCTATCCTCTTCTTTCTCTCTCTCTTTTTAGTACGCTTCTTATGCTAATTTTAAAAAATAGCGAGCTCATTCTTAAAATTTGGCCTGAGGGATAATACTATTTTTCTCTCTCCATCTTCACTTTATTAGTTTTTTTTTTTAAATTAAAAACGTCATCAATTTTTTTGTATATTTTAAAACTCCAAATTTTAATTTATAGGAGATTTATGTAATTATAGTAAACAAATTACATTAGAGAAGAACTATACTATTTAAATTTAAATCAAATAGTTTAAAATATGCTTATTATAAAGTTTTCTATATTTTTAATATGCTTTTATTATTATTGTTGTGTCCTGGAGTATTCGCGGCGGTAGAGAAATATAAAATTGAACGTCTTAGCGTTGTACGAAAATCCGGCACGCAATCAGATAAGAGAGATGGTTTATCATTCACTAGAGACACCAAGATTTTTACGTGAAAAACCACTGAAAATGGGGAAAAACCACGAGGCTTAGCCCAGTTTGAATGAATCAACTAGTATTGCAGTTGATTACAAATGAGGCCCTTCATTAGGGGAAAGCCTTAACTTGATGTACATCTTATAGAGTACATTACATAATGTGAATACAAAGAGTCTTTGCTGATGTGTTCGTTTGGTTTGAAGAACGGTAGTTGGTGGGCGACGTAAGTAGGATGGACCGTAGTCGGCGGGCGATGGAGGTCGGAAGGACTGTAGTCGGTGGGCGATGTAAGTCAAGAGAACTGTAGTCAGCGGGCGATGGAGGTCGAAATGACCGTAGTCGATGGGCGACGTAAGTCAGGAGGACCATAGTCGGCGGGTGACGGAGGTCGGAAGGACTGTGTCAGGTAGAAGTCCAACAATGAACAGAAATCCAGCATCGGTTAAATGTCCGGCGAAAACTCGACAGCAGGCATAAGTTTGACGTCGGGTAGAAATATGGCGACGAGTGGAGGTCCAGTGTCGGGAAGAAGTCTGAAGTTAGTTGACGGCCGAGGAGAAATCCTGCGTTAGATGATATTCGGGTAGAACTCCAACGTCACTTGGAGTTCGGGTGAAACTCCGATGTCACTTGGAAATCGGGCGGAATTCTGACATCACTTGGAGGTCGGGCGGAATTTTGGCGTCACTTGGAGTTCGGTTGGAACTTCAGCATCACTTGAAGGTTGGACAGAAATCCAGCATCACTTAGAGTTTGGGTGAAACTTCAGCGTCACTTGAAGGTCAGACGGAATTCTGGCATCACTTTGGAAGTCGGGCAGAATTCCGGCGGTGGTCAAGGAGGAGTTTCTTCCCTCCTACTCTTCTCTTCTCCTCTTCTTCCTTCCTTCATGCCTCTTGCTTCGGACCCCTCTCAAGAGAAATGAGGGGTCTATTTATAGATATTATGGAGTGACATGGCTTGTAAATAGGAGGAGGATCAAGGGCAAATTTGGAGTGGCTAGATGGACGGCCGATATTGAATACCTTGATCGTGAACCGTTTGTTAGACATTTGAAGGTTTTAATTATATTAGAATTCAGCGATTTTGTGCTCGTTGGATTCGTCTTGTCAAGCCGCTCGATTTGACTATAAGAATGTCACGTTTAGAAACCGTTTGGTAATCCAAATTGTGGTTCAAACCTTCCAACAGTGCTTCGGATCCTTGATTTGGACTCATTTGGGCTCGGATTGAGTTGAATTTGGTGTCGTTGGGTTTGTATTTCTGAGACGCTCAGTTCGACTGTAAGTTTGCTCAAATCGGACTTCAGATGATCCTGGATTTAATTTTTGAAGTTTGAGGTTTGATTTTGCCTCGAGATTCATGCCCGGTCAAGATAATTTTATGATAACATATCAATTATAATAAGATATTTTTTTTTAATATTTATTGCTCATTGTAAAATATTTTTTAGTTATATTTTTATTTAATTTAGAAATGAAAATATATTTTTTAAGAATAGTTGAAATAGATTAGTATGATAATATATAGTTTAAATAAATTTGTGTTGAAATTAATTTAGATGAGCATGATTATAAGTTTTTTTTCATTATCATAAAATTTATCTTCTTATAATTAAAAATAATTATAGCAAAAATTAAAACTATAAGATCAATTTTAAGCTAAAATGAAAAAGGTTAAGAATATTTTTAAACTCAAAATTTTGTGCCCAGCAGATAAAAAATCCTATATCCTATCTCCGCCACTATTATTAATGGCAGATAAATAAATAGAGAATGTCACAAGGTTTAAAAAGTCAATTACTTTGCAAAAATCAAATTTTTTTTATAAAAAAATCTTATCAATAAGAGGTATAAGATTGCCAGTAAATACAATTTGATCCTGAATAGTTCCAAGATACATTAAGTAAGATTTCATATAATTTAATTTTGAATCTATAAATATTAAGAAAATGATTATGGATATTTCAGAGATAAAAAAAAATGTATTTATCAGTATCATAGAGATAAGATTTCCAGGTGAGATTAATTATCTCTTCTTTTATATTGCTAATCTTAATGATATTTAATAACCAATCTCTGCTGACAACTAATTGCTATCAGCTAAGGATATAATGCTTATAGTATAAAATATATTATTAATAAAGTAATTAAAAAATAATTTAAAATGGTAACATTATGAGTGTGAAGGAGGATATGAGAAATTATTCCATGCGGAGTCCGGATAGGAAGAACTGTCTGAATCGTGAGTGTACATATTGTGTACAAATAGTGTGTACAAAAATTTGATGCACACGGTTTACACTCACATGTCCGGACGGTTCTTCTCGTCCGGACTCTGAACGGAATAATTTCTCAAGATATTAGCAAAGAGCATGTAAAGTTCAAAAACCTTTTTATTCACTAAATATTTTCATAATCTGATTTTTTTTTTCTCTTTTTCCAGCAACCATGCATGTATTTATTTATTAATACATTTCTATGGATGGCTTAATCTATTTTTGGCTTGCTTGGGTTTATTAAGCTCACTTTTGGTGAAACCTTAAGTTTTTTATCATCACAGATTCACAGGCAAATGTTTATCTAGGCTAGAATCTTCAACTCTTTTTATGGTTGTGTTTTCATCATATGATTGTTTCAAATTTTAAGTGAAGATTAAAATTTTGTTTCGGATTATTTTTTTCTACTTTCTAAAACAATTTTTCAATACAAAAAATTCTTGAATTAGAAATTTTTGTACCGAAAAGCTTTTTCAAAAACCAGGAAAAAAAGCTACCTACAAAGCTTCATTTGGGACGGCTTTCTTACTGCTTCTTAAAACAACTTTTTAATACAAAATCTTTAAATTTTAAATTAAAAAGCAATAAGAAAACTATCCTAAATAAAACTAAGATTTCATTTAGGACAACTTTCTTACTATTTTCTAAAAGAAATTTTTAGTACATTTTAATTCAAAAAATATCTATAATAAAAAATTATTTTAAAAAACAGTAATAAAATTGTCCCAAACAAAACCCAAGTTCTAGTACTTGTAATTGATTTCATCTAACTTGTTTGAATGGACTTAAATTACAAGAAACTCTTAATTTTGACATAAGCTATATTATATATTGCTAATTATAATATAATACTCTTTTTTTTTAAAGCAACGGTATTTGATATAATTCATTTTGATGTGTCAAAAAGAAATTTTGATTTAAAGTAAAATAGATATTAAAAACTAAATAATTACTATTTGTTATTCAAATACGACTTCTCCACAATAAAGCCTACATCATTTATGACTTCTCCACAAAGCAAAATAAGCATATTGGTAATGTAACCTATATATCATCGTGGTAGGATCAACTTGATAAATATGACAATTGGGGTTCATGCAACATATTAAGACTTCATTTCGGACAGCTTTCTTACTGCTTCTTAAAGCAGCTTTCGAGTATCGAAATTTTAACCTTTGTACTGAAAAACTGTTTTAAGAAACAGTAAGAAAACCGTCCCAAACAAAGCCTGGGACGGCTTTCTTATTACTTCTTAAAGCAATTTTCTTTAAAATTTTTGTACTATAAAGTTGCTTTAAGAAACAGAAAGAAAGTCTTTCCAAACGAAGCCTAAGCCTCCACCATCATTCATAAAAGTTAGCTTTCATTGCTATGACAAAAGAAATTCAATAAAATGTATGGTCTTATCACACATTTATGAAAAGGAACTTTATACATTTAAAATATACAACAAATATATGATATCTCACCAACCTTCTCCTCGCCTATCTTATCAGGGAAAGAATATTTGACGATAACGAACAAATAAGATTTCAAAATTAAAAAAAGAAAAACTCAGCTATGTGATATACCAGCCTGAAAGAATAGCAGTCGAGTCAAAATTTGGGGAGCCTTTGAGAGCTAGAAATATATTTAACAGCCAGCGGCTTTGAGGAAGTTGTCGAATGGGCTCGAAGCTGGGAGTCTCATGAACTGGGCTTGGTTTTGATACTCAGTAGCGCAGCAGGTGAGTGTACATGTATTGAGCTTTTGCTCCAGAAAAGGATTTCCATTCTGAAATTGAATAGATTCATAGTAAGAGTAATAATTTATGAAAAAAGATTGAAGTGCTGAATGAAAAATCTCTCTTGTTTAGATAAGCTTTATCAACTAAGATTGCAATATATAAGAATAAAAAATAAGTCCTTTTTATGCAAAAATCAAGTTCAGATAACATTGACCATGAAAGAGCAGGAAGAAATTCAAATTCACTCATAAAAGTTATAAGAAAAACAATCCAAAACAATTTGAAGTAAGCCTTGATGAGTATGATTGGGCTTGTGCTACTGTCACAAAATTATATTATGATAGTAGAATCAAAGGGCAATCTTCTTTGTAATGCAATCGCTTTAAGAGTAAAGGTACAAAACATAATAAAACCAAATTATCTTCTTCACTCCTAGTGCGCAACTCTATGAGTCGGGATGAGCACTTTTTCATCACTCGTCTTCTTATTTCACTTAAAGGGTTGCATCCTTTGAATGTTTTGACTGTGTTTCTTATTTGTTTTGAGTGTGAAGTGAAGTGAGTGTGAGAAGATAGATTTGTACATTTTCTCACAATTTCATAGTGGATTTTATTTGGTGTGGGGCGGCTTCATGATTCTTTTCCAATTTCGGATTTTTCCACATTGAATCCAAATGATCTTTTTCTTCGCTGCACTTTTTTTTTTCTTGCTTGTTTTGCAGTGTGATTATATTTCCCAACAATCAGGTGAAAAGTATATCCAGATTGCAAAACTAATTGACATTCTCTCTTTTGATGGGCAAAGGATTCCAGATTTACATCAGATAATTAAGAGCTGAGGCAAATAAATTGAAATGGGGGGATGGAGAATAAGAAGCAGAATGCGTTTTTGAGAAACACTCTCTCATTAAATATAAAAGTTTGTGATGAAACTTTAAACCATTATCAAAGTTGGGTTGAAAAAAAATGAAGACCGATTGACTAACATACCGTTTGTAATTGGTTTGGATATGAGGAAACTGCCAGATTTGTAATATATTGATCCTGTGAAACTTCTTGTTTTTGCTGGGATACTACCAAAACAGAAAGCTTTTGTTGTTTACCCAACAGAAGAGCCTCACAGTGATTAGCCATTTCTCTAAATGGCACATCAGGTGTAATTGATACCGAAGTTCTTCCTACTTTCCTAGCTGTCTCAAGCACCTGTATTTTTTCAACCTTTGTCAGCAGAAGACTTTCCAAAAGAAGGCCAAAATTAAGTTTGAGTTGCTAGCCAAAGATAGAGAATTAAATGGAATTATATTACTCTTTTTCCATTATGTAAACCAAATAAAAAAGACTGTTGAGTGAAATCTTAAGCATACAGATTCTAGTAGCTGATCAACGCTCAAAAGGCTGGCATTCATGTGCAAATGGGATTTTCTATCTACGACACTATCAGCTGCTTCAGTAAGAATGTCATCTTCTAGAAAAACTGTAGAAGTGACCTGAGGCATACAAATACAATCTCATTTAATGCATATTCTTGAATAAAATTATTAAATTATTGAAAATGCTTGATCATGCTACCTCTTTTTCAGATTTATGGTCGTTACCATGCGGTGCTAACTGACCTGGCACTGGCACCTTCACAAACTGACCACCTAATGGGCATAAATCATCTGGTAAGAAATCCTTCAGTAGTTGAGCTCTCATGGCAAAAGATTCGGACTGCAGAAACATGAAAATCTATCAGAACAGTTTAATCTGTCACATTAGAGACGGAAGAAATTTAACAGAAGAAAATCAAGATATGAAAAGAGAGCTGTGGGTGAATTACATTAGATAAGTTCCCAAATTCGTCAATAATTACAGAAACCATGTGCTCGATCGAATGATCTTCTGCTAATATGGATGCAGAAAGAGCTTTTGATGCATAAATGTCGTCCTCTTTTGAACCATAAACAACTAGGGCATCAGATGTGGAGATCACAGCCTGCAATTTGCAATCTTCAACTAAAGAAAGAAATGGATCAACCTGGTACATGAATCAGCATTTGTTATTATTAGAATAATTAGCAGAACTCATTTGAATGATAGTATACACAGGGTTAGGTATATGATACACGTTGAAGGTAAAATCAGCGAGAAAAGACTAAAAATAGAATAACTTGAGAAACGATGGGTGTATTAATTCTTCAACACCAAAGAAAGATACAATGATCTACAATTAGAGAGGTACATTGTCTCTCCCACTCAACCTAGACGCCGTTATGAATCCCTCAAAGAAAGAAAACTATAGCAGAAAAATCAAATCACATAGTGCAAAAACAACTTGGGACCTAATTAAACTCCCCCGAATTCTCTCTCCAAACAGTCCTTTCCATAATTAATTTCCCTCCCCTAATTGAATTTCAAATTATAATTCTTTCCTTCCCTAATTCCCCCCTTATTCCTCTCTCTCCTAATGAAATTTAATATTGTTGGGCCCAACATGGGGGGCCAAAATCCTTGCTCCCACCCCCCTCTGATTGTCTGATGTTGGACTGGATGCTAGACCGACCGGCTCCCCTCCATATCAATACTTACCTCCCTAAAATGCACCTTGTCGTGGAAGATTGGGAACCGTCTCCTGATCGTCTCGTACGACTCTCATGTGGCATTATGATCAAGAAGATCTTTTCACTTAATTAGCATCTCCTGTGCCCCTATGTCCCCTTTGCTAGTAATGATGGTTTGTGCTCTCCTATCATCTTCCCTAGTTGTGATACATGAAATACTGGGTGCAACACTGATGATAGTAGTAGCCTCAATCGATAGGCTACTGTCCCAATGTGCTCCAAGACCTCTTAAGGCCTAAAGTATTATAGGGATAACTTTTAATTCCTCCTCCTAGCTAGCATTTCCTGTATGTATGTTCTCAAGTTCAAGTAAACCATACCTCAGGGTTCAAATTTTACTTTCTCCTGTGCTCATCGGCCTTCCTCTTTATGATCAGTTGGGCTCTCAACAAATGCCCCTTGAGCTCAGATAGTACCTTATCCCTCTCCTCTAGATACTACTCCACACTAGACACTACAGTAGCTTGGGGATGTAATTAGAGGTCCGATATAATACAAATCTCCCCTAGTAAAGTAATTTTCCTCCTTTGAAAACATAACTTTGGTGACTGTCTGGATCCTTTAATAGCTCCTCCCTGATCTTCCTCAACTTTTCATTCTACTCAATCTCTTATCTCGATACCTCCCAATCTAAGATCAATGGTACTGATAACATTTCCAACTAAGGTTTCTCGACTCCCCTGGACAAGGCGTCAGCTGTCTTGTTTTTTACTCCTAGCAGAGAATGGATCTCAAAGTCATATCCAAGCAACTTGGATAGCCATCTCTGATGCTCCTCAGTGGCAGTCCATTGTTCCAACAAGTACTTCAGGCTCCTCTAATCTGTCATGACTATGAAATGTCTCCCAGTAAATACAACCACCGCTTATAAATAGCCAAGACGATTTCCATCAACTCCCACTCATACATTGACTTGAGCTTTGCCCTGACTGTGAGCACCTGATTGAAGTATGCAATAGGTTGCTAGTCTTACATGAGCATTGCTCCTAGCCCATAACTTGATGCATTTGTCTCCACCAGAAATGGTATCCCAAAATCTGGGAGCGCCTGCACTGATAAACTGGTCATAGTTATTCGCTATTCCAACAAGTACTTCAGGCTCATCTTATCTGGCGTGACTATGAAATGTCTCCCCAGCAAATATAGCCACCACTTATGAATAGCCCAAACGATTTCCATCAGCTCCCGCTGATACACCGACTTAAGCCTTGCCCTGGCTGTGAGCACCTAACTAACGTATGCAATAGATCATTGGTATTGCATGAGCACTGCTCCTATCCCATAATTTGATGCATCTATCTCCACCAGAAATGGTCTCCCAAAATCTAGGAGCACATGTACTGGTACACTAGTCATAGCTATCTTCAACTCCTAGAAGTTTCATGTCACTTCCTCTGCCCACATGAAGTTATCTACAATGGTGTCATATCCCTTCACAAACTTCCGGTAGTAATGGGTAAGCCCTAAGAACCCCTGCAACTCCCTCAAGTTCTTAGGAGCAGGCCAATACACCATGGCCTGAACTTTGGATTGGTCAACTGATATCCCCTCTTTGGACACCACATGCCCTATATACTCCACTTGTGATTGCCAAAATGTGCACTTCTTCCAGTTGGCAAAAAAGTGATTCTTCGGCTGATCTTCTCTCTCTAATGTTTCTCTTCCACCCTTTGTGCCATCTCCATCGTCTCTCTCAGGCCTCTAGGCCTCAACATCCTGAGCTCGGCTCATATGCCTTCCTTAAGGCCTTTCATGAAATTTCCTTCCAACCCTTTCTAAAAAATTCCTCTCAGTATTCCTGAAAGTAGCTCATATTTCTCTTGATACTCCATAACAGTCCCTTCTTGTGTTAATGCATGAACTGCTCGTGAAGGTCTCCTTCTCGAATGCTCAAAAGTATTCCAATAAGCAAACCTTGAATTCTCCCCACGAATAGATAGGATATTTGGCCTCCCTCCACTGAAACCAAGCTAGGGTTTTCAATCCAAGCATAGACCCGCCGCCATGAGTTTCTCCCCTTCAATTAGCTCATTGATAACAAAGTATCTCTCCACACGGTTCACCCAACCTTGATCAACTTCCCCTTCAAAGACCAACATTTTTAACTTCCTTGATCTAGCCTTTATACCCCAATAATTTCTTCCTCTGTTAATTCCCCCCGCGAAGTGATGGTACGATTCTCTCACTTCCTCTCTTGGCTAATTTTGGACCCCATGGTTCGACCAAATCGTCACTTCCTACGACCCACCGTCGCTTCTGCTTGGGTAGTCTTCAAAAAGCTTTAGCCTCCCCTCTCCTTGCCGCCCCTTCTTTGGGATACTAATGTAGTAGTTGGCAGCACAACTGCCAAGGTGGGCAGTAGCCCAAGTGCCCGGGTGGGGCCCATGACCTCCTTAGGAGAAGAGGCTTCGAGGGGAACTATTTGGGAAAGATGTAAGAGGCATTTATTAGAGGATTTTGGGCTGTTTAAGGGGGGAGATTGCGGGGGGTTAGGATTTATATTTGAATTTTATTTGCTGCAACAGTTTTTGTGGGAGTTTTTGGGTTCCTAATCGCTGCTAGGAATTGTGGGAGAGACGATTCACCTCGAACAATGAATCAACTTGTATTTTATCTTTGTTTGCTTGAAGATTAGTAATTACAACCCTCTTAGTGCTATTTCTGGATCTATTTGAAATAAGTTTGTTGTTTTTAATATTGATGTGTGCTGTTTTGGTCATCAAATCCTATCAAATTGGTATCAAAGCACGATTTGAGACCCATAGCGCCAAAGCAAGTGGATGCTTTGGAAGAAAAACTAGAAGGAAAAGTTGATCAATTCAAATATGAAGTTGAGGAAAAGATTTCATCAATGGAAGGAAGGTTTCTAACCTAAAGGACATGATGAAAAAAAATATTGGAACTTCACACCCAACCGACAACATCGGAGGCAAGGGCACTAGCGGGTGGCTAAGGAAGTGGGGGAAACCCCAATATCGATACAATGAGGGATGATCGAGAGGTAGAAATTTTGGGCGACAGGGAAAATATGCCACCTCTTAAATTGATCCTCTTAAATTGATAACTATGAGGGAAATTGGTGAAGGATATAACATGAGGGAAAATTCATAGGGAGAAATAAGGAGGGCTGATTTCTAGGAAGATGATATCTATGAAAAGAATGGTGGGAGAGAACAATGGAGAGATAACAACAATCGATATATAGGAGGAGCTTGAGGTGGAAGAGGAAATTGTGGCAGAGGGGATCCGAGAGTGAGAAAGCTGAAGATGCCTGTTTTTAGGAGGAAGATGCTCATGGATAGATTTATAGGGTGGAGAGATACTTTGCAGTGAATGGGCTAACAGAAGAGAAGATACTAACGGTGGTAGCTTTATGCCTGGAAGAGAAAGCCTTGTCTTGGTATCAGTAGAGAGACATGAGAGATCCAATTCGATCATGGATAGAGTTCAAAGATAGTGTATTAAAACGTTTATGAACCAATCGGGAAGAAGATACTACGAGCAGTTCTTTGCTCAGGTTTAGGAAGGGATAGTGATGGATTATCTGGAGAGGTTTGAGTTCCTTGCTAGCTAGTTGGGGAGGATATCTGAGACAGTGTTAGAGAGGAATTTCATAAAAGGACTCAAGCCAGAGATCAGGGTTGCTATCAGGTTATTGAAGTGACGAGGGTTACGGGAACACATGGAGCTAACCCACTTGGTGGAGGACAAAAACTCACTTGAGAGAAGCAATAAGGGCAGCAATTTTGGAGCTTCATACCGGACAACTGCTAATTTTTTAGCACCAAAGGTATAGGCTGTGTCCATTCAGAGAGAAGTTGTTGACCTCTAAGATATAATCAGGGAAGAAGAAAAAAAAAATATGCACATAAAAAATGAATAAAATCATTACCTATGTCATGCCCATACGCAAATCCTGCCAAAGATCCCGCCTGCTACGGTGATGATGTCGTACCTCTGCAACGGCGCCGAATAGTCATTTCTCACGCCTCTTTTCGCAAAGGCCTTCGGCACTTCTTAAACGAGCAAAACCCCACAGTTATCTCGCTCTTTTCTCAAATGGAACTCTCGCTCCCACAACACTTCCACGATTGAATCCCATCGCAAGCTCCGTCGCTTCCCCTATCATCGCCGACCACAAACCCCACTAGTAGCCGCAACTCCATCTCCTCTACTCCGACACTTGAGTCGTTGACCCCGTAAAACCCAAACTCCTCAAGCCGAAGCCATACCCGACCTTGCCATCTCCACGGTGCTAATCCGACCTCTAAGCCTGATCCCCCATTTCAAACATTCACCCAGCTGCAACTCCCGATCTTCCCTCTCCTACCCGACGCCTCCACAGAGAGAGAGAGAGAGAGAGAGAGAGAGAGAGAGAAACCCTACCTCAACCTAGCTTCAGACCCCGCCGCCTCCA